CAGCCGAGCCAAGTGCCTGCGTTGTCAAGCAAGTTATTCTTGACATCGAAGGAGCTTTACACAAACCAGCAAGGGAAAGGCGGAAAGAAAAAGTCAATCCTTAATGACCCAATGATCTTGTCAAAACTTTGTACCTGGGCAGTTGAGCAGAAACCTGGTCATGTACATTTTGAATTTCATTTAGATGAAGCATTCATATTAATTTATTACATCACTTGGCACTGCAGGTAACTCCACAAGCCTTTCACAAGCATGCAGTGAATGTTGTATTACCAAGGCATGGATACAAAGGCATCAGTCTTGATACGGCCACTCGTTGGATGTACAAGCTAGGATTTTGGGCTCAGTATCACCAAAAGTCCGTCTACTATGGTGGTCATGAGCGAGAAGATGTAGTTGCATCCAGAAAGAAATACTTGGACAATGTGGCTCAGTTACGTGTTTATTTGAAAAAGTACGATGGAGAGAACTGTGAGATACCGCTCCTAGTTGATCCCAAAATCCTTGGTCACAACAAGGAGACAGTCTTCATTTATCATGACGAATCTACTATACATGCAAAAGAAAGGCCAACTCTATCTTGGCTTCTGCCTGGTACAACTGAGCTCCAATCGAAAAGTTTGGGCCGACTGATCCACATCTCTGATTTCATCTTGGAGTCAACCGGACGATTGGTTCTATCACCTGAGGAGCAAACACTGAATCAGCTCAAGTTCTCAGATGCAGCTAAAGTTATTTACCCTGGCTCCCAGGGTGATGCTTGGTGGGATATGGACCAGCTTTGTAAACAGGTATCAGAGAAGGCGATACCCATATTTGAAGCTTCTCACCCCAAATGTCAGGGTGTCTTTGTTTTTGATTGCTCTTTGGCTCATGAAGCATTTGGACCATCTGCCCTTCGTGCCCAGAAAATGAATCTCGGACCTGGTGGAAAGCAGTCTCATTTGCGTGATACAGTCATACCTAGCAACGATCCTCACATCCCTGAAGTTTTACAAGGTCAACCACAGATGATGTGCTACCCAAGCAATCATTTGGATCCTTCTTTAGACGGGCAGCCCAAAGGGATCAAGCAAGTCCTTACCGAGCGTGGACTCTGGCAGTACTACTCTGGCACCCGAAACCAAGCTCGATTGCCCCCACTTAATCTCAAGTGCAAGCAATGTCTAGCAAGCGGTGCTGTGAAGGAAGCCAAAGCTTGAGCAAGAAATTTGACCAAGCAAGCTGAGGCTCAAGGCTACTTCATCGATCAAGACGCCACCTGTGGCTGAAAAATTCTTCCATGCCAAATGGAGGAAACTGATGCACACATCTTCCATTTGGAATGGAAGATGGCTGGAGCTGAGCTCGCCCAATTTTTTCAGCTCAGCCAGCTCAGTCAGCTCTTGGACCCAGCTCATCCAGCTCAGTCAGCTCAAGTCAGCTCTTGGACCCAGCTCACTCAGCTCTCCGACCCAGCTCACTCAGCTCTCCGACCCAGCTCACTCAGCTCATCCAGCTCCAGTACACAGCTCACCCAGCTCATCCAGCTCTTGGAACCAGCTCACCCAGCTCATCCAGCTCTTGGACCCAGCTCATCCAGCTCTTGGACCCAGCTCACTCAGCTCTCCAACCCAGCTCACTCAGCTCATCCAGCTCATCCAGCTCTCGGAACCAGCTCACCCAGCTCATCCAGCTCTTGGACCCAGCTCATCCAGCTCAGTCAGCTCAAGTCATCTCTTGGACCCAGCTCACTCAGCTCTTGGACCCAGCTCACTCAGCTCTTGGACCCAGCTCACTCAGCTCTCCAACCCAGCTCACTCAGCTCATCCAGCTCACTCAGCTCTCCGACCCAGCTCACTCAGCTCATCCAGCTCCAGTACACAGCTCACCCAGCTCATCCAGCTCTTGGAACCAGCTCACCCAGCTCATCCAGCTCTTGGACCCAGCTCATCCAGCTCTTGGACCCAGCTCACTCAGCTCTCCAACCCAGCTCACTCAGCTCATCCAGCTCCTCCAGCTCTCGGAACCAGCTCACCCAGCTCATCCAGCTCTTGGACCCAGCTCATCCAGCTCCGTCAGCTCAAGTCATCTCTTGGACCCAGCTCACTCAGCTCTTGGACCCAGCCCACTCAGCTCTTGGACCCAGCTCACTCCGCTCTCCAACCCAGCTCACTCAGCTCATCCAGCTCAACCA